GGAGGGGAGGGGCGGGGGGGGGAGGGGAGGGGAGGGAGGAGGAGGGGAGGAGGAGAGGGGAGGAGGAGGCGGGGCGCAACGCCTAACGCCGCTCGGCCGGCCCCTTCCCTCCGACCAGCGGCGCCGCGCGCTAGGCCCGGGCTCTCGCAGACGCCCCGGCCCCGGCCTGGCCAGCTCTCGGGCGGGGCCGCCGAGGCGCCCGGCTTCAGGCGCCGCGGGAGCCGGCGCAGGAAACCTCCTCTCCCCGCCGCCTGACCTACTGGAAAGGGGGGAGCAGGGGAGGAAGCTCCGCGGCGACTGAGCCTGCGGGAGCACCGCGCTGACCGCGTTGTCTCCTCGGAGCCTCCTCTGGCCCCGCCTGACCTCCCGCCCCTCGAAATCCTCGCCGAATCTCCCCACCCTTCCTCCGGCAATGGGTGGAGGCCTTGGCGGAGGGTCTCCGACCTGCGCAGCCCCGTGGAAGGGGGGGCCGGAAAAATAAAGCTCTCTCCTGCCCGACGGCCGGGGGCCGGGAAAAACCGTGAAGTGTGGGCCGAGGGGGCACTGGGCTGGAGGGGGAATCGCCCTCGGGCGCCGGGGTCGTGCGTTCCAGGGAGCCCCTCCCAAAGTGCACTGCACGCTGTGAAAGTCCTTGTAGCTCCTCGGTGGGATTGACGCCCCCACCCCTCCCTTCCCAGAGGAAGATTTCCACTGTGCGTAACCCTCGCGCTTTGGTTTGCTGGTGTGGTGTGCAGGGAGTGTTGCGGGTCCCCAAAAGAGTGTCTCAGCTTCCAGGGTGATTGGGTCAGTACTGAGACTTTGACCGACCAAATGGGGGGAGGGAGGGGTGGAGGAAAGAAAGGGGCAGACTAGAGCGTTTCACTTCCACCATCCCTCTTCAGGGGCAGAGTCTACCCCTGACTCCTTGGAAGGTGAGTACCTGCAGGGCAGAGCCCCTGGCACATAAAAGGTTCTGAACTAAATTAACATTTATGAAGGGATATGATTAAAACCAGATACAGCAGTGCCTCCGTTATTCAGTTGTCCCGGGTGGGCAGGGCATCCCAAGGAAATACACTTAAAAGTGTTCAGGGTCCCTTGAAATTTGGCCCCAAATCAAAGGAACCTAATAAAATAATTAATACTCTGCATTTGTAAAGTCTTTTTCTCTAAGAATGTTACCTCATTCCAAACATATTTTTTACTTCAAGTTGGATAAAATTCCAAAGCAGAAGAAAGGATTCATATGGGGCAAATAAGTTTCCAGCTATCCATGGTCAGAGTGGAGGAGCATAAAGAGTTAGCTTCGTTGATTCTTAAAGCCCTGTGATTTCTTTGAAGTGGTATGGTGGGGTTACTTTGGTATGATCGAAAGAGTTAGGGGATGTACAGTCAGAGGACCTAGGCATGAGACTTGCTGGGCCATTTAGGCCTAAATTTCCTCGTCTGAGAAATGGTTACTGTGACGATGAGATAATATGAAGTATTCTTCGTAAGCTATAGGATATGCCACATAAATGCTTTAGTTACTGGGACTGGTATACAAGTCATGATTTATATACTGTAGCTGCAAAATACTTTCCCAAGACCTTACTGGTTATTTCTCCAGATATACTAGTAAAACAGACAACCTCTTTCCAGTCACCTCTGAATCGGGGAAGAAATTCATTTGTTTTTCCAGGGCCACTCCTGTATCCTTGGCTCAGTTTGGCATCAAAACGCCTGATGACTTCCTTTTTACATCTTAGCCTGTAAGATAGCTTCAACTACTACACACTCCAAGCGTAGGCATCAAAACCCAAGCCCAGAAGACAAAGGAGTTATAAAAGAATAAATGTTGACCCAGGACCAGAAAGACAATCTGTTGTCCAGAGAACAAGACAAGAGGGTGCATGGACTCAGGTGCCAGATGTGCAAGCGGGGGGGTGGGGGAGCGGGGGTGGGGGGGGCAGGACTGAAGGGTTCTATGTGCTGTTGAATCTCCTTTAATATTACTATGGACTGAATTGCGCTCCCAGCCCCTGCATTCATATGTTGAAGCCCTAACTCCCAATGTGCATCTGGAGATAGGGTCTTTAGGAGGTAATTAAAATTGAGTTCATAAGGATTGTAGCCTTATATGAAGAAGGAAAAGAGAGATCTCCCCATCACCATCACCAGAGTGTGTATATAATGAGAAGGCAGCCGTCTGCAAGCCAGGAAGAGAGCCCTCACTGGAACCCAACCATGCTGGCACACTAATCTCAGACTTCCATCCTCCAAAACTATGAGAAAATAAATTTCTGTTGTTTAAGCCACCTAGTCCGTAGCATTTTGTTATGGCAGCATGAGCAGACTAAGACAAATATGTCTTTGCTTGGAGCTGAACACCCTTCCTACCACCTCTGCCACCTGGCATTTTGTTCAGCACTTCCACAGTTGTCTCATTTTTAATTCCTAACTGTGTGAGTTGGAATTGGCAGGATTTATTTTTAAATGAAAGAGCTAAAACTCAGAATGATTAAGTGACTTGCTGAAAGTCACACAGATTGTGAATGGGCCAAACCAACACTTGAGTCTCCCCAGACAACATCTAGTCAACTAATGCTAAGTACTTACCATGTGCTAGGTTCTGATCTGGATTATGGGACAAGAAAGATGAATGTGATTTAGAGATGGGAAGGGCACAGTCTGGTCAGGAAGAGGAACATGTAAACAAATCATTACAGCAAAGAAAAGTGTCTACAAGGATAATTGGCCCAGCAGGTTTTTGGGGAACGCGTTGCAGGCAGAGGAATCCTGGGAAAACATGGCTTTTCAGGGAGCCACAAGTACAGCTTAGAGCAGAGTATAGTGGAGGGAAGGAAGAGGCAGAGATGCTCCACAGGCCATTGAAGATACTGTTCCTCTTCCTCCTGCCCAAGGACTCTGATTACCTCCCCAGGGCCTTGGCCAAAAGAGAGAACTGAATTTGAACAGAGATCAAGGCAGTCCTTAAGGGACCCAATATCCCTAAGGAGATGCAGCAGTGAACTCTTCAATTAGGTTCATATTGACATTCTACAGTAAATTATCTTTGTTTGATTGTTTGAGCTGGGGGGTCTCCTAAGGGTTAGTTTATTACAGCCCTAACCACTTGTAAATAAGCGATAATGTGCTTTAATTAAGAGAAGATATGAATTGCATACCTATGCATTTTACTAGCAAGTGTCAATGTCTATATAGAATGGCTGGTTTCCAGAGGCACAGAGTCTTACTTAAACTAATACAGGATCATCCCTCACAATAGAAATGCAGAAAAGGATCGTAGTTAATGAAGGGACTAACATCTGTCTGCTCTGTTTTGGGAGCATTAGTCCAAGTTCTTACCAGTTGGATACGAGGATTCACTTACCTTCTACTGTTTTCTTTACAAGTTGCATACTTGTGTTTATCACAAGTATGACTTGTGATATCTGACTTTCAGGGACTTATTAAATCGCAGCACACAAATGCCCTCTCTTGGGGAGGGACTGTAGGTTGGGGAAGAAATGAACCCAGAAGGGCTATATGCACTCCCAGCCCCTCTCCCAGAAACTGGGTTCCGCAGGTCTGCCCACCTCCCCAGGATGTTCATTCCGCACACCAGGCCAACAGCCAATTTAAGGGCTGGTTCTGGGATTTCAACATCTCTCTGCCTGGGACGAAATGAAGACTATCACCTCTGCCTCACTGGAGATCTCATTAGAACTTGAACTCTGGTCTTTGTTCTTTCCCAGCGGGTTCAGTACAGTGGAGAAGGTGAGGGGAGAAGGGGGGTCGGTAAAACCACAACTCCCAGAGCATCAAGGGTCCGACGGGCCTCTGAGATCTGGATGTGAGTTAGCAAGCAATTACCTACAAGACAGCCTGGTAACCAGAGAAGCTGCCGAAAGAATTTGATTCTACTCGCTCTGTGAGAGGATGTCTGCCTTCCCTCAAGCACCCCCACCCCTCCCCAGCTTCTCAAGGCTAATTTCGCCACCCTCTGCCTACTTTCCAAGTGATATTCCACCCTCAGTGGAAGCAAGGTCCCAGGGCTCAGAGGCAGAGGGCTCTGTTCTGGCTACATTCTGCTTGATTTGGCCATTGTCAACATCACTGCTCTTTGTCTATATTGGGAGAAGGGGAAAGAATCAGAGGGTGCTGCTACCCTCCCTACTCCAATACCCCTACAGCCTTCAAACCCTTTGGGGGAAGAGAATTTAGGAAGAAAGAGGTGACTCAGAATTTTCTCAGAAACCGGAGTGGGAGCCCAGCTGGGCTGCAGGAAGTGTGGGGTCTGAGTGAAAGAAACCTCACATTCCTTTCTCTGTTTGGCTGTGAGCTTCCCCCTGCCTACTGTTGCTGGGCTAGTCCCTCCCCCCCCCCCCCCTTTTTTTTTTTTTTTTTTTCCACTTTCTCTGGTTCAGCTGATATCAATTCAGATCCTGGTACTGAAAGGCCTCTACATAGATAAGATTAAGGTCCCGCACTTATCTTCAAAGAATTTATGAGAAGGAAAGACTTTCGGGAGGTTAAAAAAAAAATGTACCTAAATAACAATACAAGGCAATTATATGTGCCTAGGAGAAGGGCCACTGCAGCTAATAGTCCCGTCATTTCTCACCTGAATTATTGAACGGCC